AAAAAAAAAATATGGTATTCAGTCAACAAATGGGTGTTTATGTTACAAAGGAGTATCTATATTCGAAAGCAGATACTCAATTGTGAACAAATCAGACATGGTTGTTAGTCTAGTAGGAAAGAGGGACACAACACTAAAAATTATACATGATTTGGGAACACTGAAAGGATTCATGATTCTAGGGACCATTCACAACAAGGTAAGCACACTAATGTATAAGGTAAGGTTTCTGCTGATGCTGAAGATAACCAACTCTTTCTTTGGCACTCTGACATGTTAGTTTTTCCCTACATAAGACAATTCTATTTAGGTACCTTCAGCATGCGATTTTCCCTTGGTGGAATTTCACTTGTTTCATTTTGGGACTTTAGAGATCAATCCTTATACTTTGGTTCAGATATCTTCCTTGGTCATTTTTAATTGATGCTATCAGCCTTCTCTTTGTGATATTCCCCAGGCTGCCATTCTTATACTACTTCCCCTCATTCATAAATCAGAAATCTGAAAGGTGATTTAAAATTTAAGGCTTTTAAAATGCACTAAATCAATAGAACAATGTAAGGAGCTGATCCAAATATGATATAATATATAAAACAAAGCCAATTATTGTATAAATACTTCTAACTAGTAGGTAATCCAGATAACAATTTCTCACTACTAGTTCCTGTAATGACACAAGGAGAATTTGTAAAATTTAGCAAGTGAGGAGGGATCACATTAAAAATATTTAACTATTTTAGTTATTTCCATTATTTTCTGGAACAGTGGAGTAAGTAGAAGTAGCATGAGAAGCTGAACAGGAGGCCCTGCATTTGAGTCTTGGCCCCTGTCACTTTCACTGGAAATCATGTGATTCAGCTTTTCTGAGTTTGCTTCTTATCTATAGAATGCAATAATAAATACCTGGTCACAGGAAAAACATAATTAAATGAGCTAATGTGTGCACTTCATAGAGTTGTATAAAGGTTGTTGTTGGTGGTTATGTGCTGTGGAGTCGGTTCTGACTCATAGCGACCCTGTACAGGGTTTCTGAAGCTATAAATCTTTATGGGAGCAGAAAGCCACATCTCTCTCCTGCAGAACAGCTGGTAGTTTTGAACTGCTGACCTTGCTGTTCACAGCTTGTTTCATAACCACTACACTACCAGAGCTCTTTGTATAAAGGTTAGATGTTGCTGATATAGTCTGGGTTCTTTACCACCCTTTAGTAAGCTTCTCTTTGTACATAACAGTACTTATCAAGCCATGTTTTTACAAACCAGTTAGCTACATGGCTATATAAAATGAAGTCTTAAATGGAACTAGGTAGTAGTACTGAGGGGAAATGAAATGAGGTTTGTTTTTGTGTCCATTATGTTTTCCATATGGCATCTTAATCTTTATAAACCAATTGCTGTTGAGTTTATTTCAATTCAAGGTAACCCCGTGTGAGTTGGCACAAAACTATACACCATTGTGTTCTCAATGGTTGATTCTTTGGAAGCAGATTGCCAAGGTTTTCTTCTGAGGCATATCCAGGTGGATTCGAACCTCCAAACCTTTCGGTTAGAAGCAGAGCATTTAATGGTTTGTGCCACCTACAGGCTCCCACAATCCTCATATTACCTCTTAAACAAACTGCAATCTTCACTTTGCAGATAAAGCTATATTGAATCTCACACTGCCCCAGGCTATAAATATTTACGGAACAGAACTTGGGTTTGGTTAAAAAAAGTCATTCTCTTTCCAATACCACAGCACGCATTTTTTGGTAAATATTTTCTCCTTTTCTATTTTAAGTGGCAGAAGGAAAAGTTCTCACTTTCAGGATCAGTAAATAACCATGTGACTGAAAAACTACCATTTCAATGGAATACCATGTTATTAAATCATCAATATCAAATATAATAAAAATTATGTTGTTGTTGCTGTTAAGTGCCATTGAGTCCATTCCGACCCATAGCAACCCTGTATAGGGTTTCCAAGGAGTGACTGGTAAGCTTGAACCACCAACCTTGCAGTTCAAACCAACTTTGCAGTCCAGTGCATTAACCTGCAGTGCCACACCAGGACTCCAGTAAAAATTATAGTATAATAACAATAACAAATATATCAGAAATAATAATCCACTTATGATTTAAAAAATTATTATGATCCAATGAAGGCACCAGTGCTTATAAACTTCAACATATACATAGCCAAAGGAAGGAACTATTTGTGGTTTAGAAAGCATTAAACAGAAAACCAAATGCTAATTATTTTTAGTTTTGATCATAATCTATAGCTGGTTTTACGTACAGTGAGTGACCTTTTTAAATTCTGTATTGAGACCTAAGTGGTTGCTGCTAAGTGCCGTTGAGCATAGCCACCCTTCATAGGCTTCTGAGGCTATAAATCTTTGTGGGAGCAGAAAGCCTCATCTTTCTCCTGCAGAGCAGCTACAGTGCTTGTCTTACAGTCTCTGCGCCCCTGAGAAACAGGTTAGATAAGTGTAAATGAACTTATAATACAAGAGAGCACATAGTTGTTTGTTTAATAATTGCTGAACCAAAGTCTGGTTGCCCTTTCATTTTGAATATTCTGAAGTTGAATTTTACAGATAGGATACTTTTGAATCTAAGAGAGAAGAAAGCTTAATACCAATAAAAGATCTTTTTCATATTTTATACCATGTAACATCAGTGGTGGATGGCCAAGCAGATGTATACAGTATGGGCTATTACAGTATTTCGAAGTTCTGGTGTGGGTTAATGCAATGGACTGCAAAGTTGTTTGAACTGCAACGTTGGCAGTTCAAGCTCCCCAACCACTCCTTGGAAACCTATACAGGATTGCTGTGGGTCAGACCTGACTCGATGGTACTTAACAACAAACAACATTTTAGTATTTAGGACGCCTGGTGTGGTGCTGTGGATCAGCACTGGGCTGCGAACCACAAGGTCAGCAGTTCAAACCCACCTGCTACTCCTTGGAAACCCTATATAGGGTCGTTATGAGTCAGAACCAACTCACCAGCACTTAGCAACAATTATATATATATATAGCATCTAATGAAACAATACAGTAAAGTCTCACATTTACTTGTCACTTATAATGCTAACACAAATGACACATTCTAAGTTTTACAGGAAAGTAGCCTGTGGCATAGTGTATTTGGGAAAGTTAACCTTGGATTTTACGCCCCCCCCCCCCAAAAGGCTTACTACCTTAGTTAAAAAGATCATTTATTTCTGGGGCAATTCTTAGGCATTAGGAAAGATTGCTCTCATATGTATTAACTCTCAAATGAGGCATACTGACACTTAGGGAAACACACTACATTATCAGAGAGATAGCAATTTATCCTAGAAAAGATGTGATTCTTTCATTGTCTAGACTAGTTGCCTAAGTCAACAACAGTATGACTTGATTATCTTTATTTAAACTCCTGGCCTGTCACCAACCTGTATCATTCCTCTTCCTATCTCTCCCTCCCTATTTCAACTCCATGGCTGTTTGCTAGTTCCTAATCTTGTTCTTGTCCCACCTTCCATTTTTGTTGTTGGGTGCCATTGAGTCAGTGACCCTGTGGACAGCAGAATGAAATACTGTTTGGTTCTGAGCCTTCCATTTGGCCTACTTCCTTCCTTTTTACCTATAACATACTGACTTGGCAGGGAAACTTTGGTCTTTGACTTTTAGTTTCACCTCTGATGTTTTTAGGCCTGCTATATAACCTGTGTTTATCTACATTTATTGTGTTTTCACTCTCTGGCTACAAGGAACTTTGCTGCTGCTTTCGTGGTCACTGAGTGGTAAGGTTATTTTGAGCCATGAGGGCTGGGGGCAGGGCAGTCTTTGGTTTTCAAGCCTCATATGCATTGTAATCTAATTCTCACTAGATAGAGTTAATGTATATACTTGATATATAATTTGGTTGTTAATTATCTGAAATAACTAAAAAACATATACAAGTTTTTGGAGGGCTAGCTTTTCTTTTTACTCTTGGCGTCACATTTTTCAAACTATATTGTCTGCATTTTGAATCAAGTATTAGGGGTTGAGAAAGGTAATCCCTACCCACACCTCCGTTTCTAGTCTCAAAAACAAACCAACTCTAAGCCTGGAAATTTCAGGTTTAATATCAGTCCTAAAAGCACTCTGATATAGACGAAAACAATCCTGCCAAATTAAGGACAAAGAGGATAAGCAAGCAGAATATGCCTAAGAAATAACAAGTAACCTTAGGGATAAGGAGGGCACGGGTGCATGGCTAATAGACAAGGCAAGCAACAGCTGTTACCAATCCAGAGTAATAAGCAAGTCTCTGCATCAACTAAAGGGTCCAACCACAGCCATTTACTTTAATGAAGTTACTCAAGATCCCTCCTTTCTTAAAGCATTTCAGGAATTAGGCTGGGAAAGAAGGGCTAACATCATGATAATCAAATATTTGCAAAGGTTAAGCAGATAACTAGTTTAGCAGATAGATGGCAAGTAAAACAGTTATCGCACAATTGAATCATTGACCCTTTTAGTACTTAGGTCTTCATCTGTTTACAGCCATTTGATCTCTTTAGACATGTAGGATATTTAACAGGTTTTTATTTCTTCTTTAGTTTTCTTCTTGCATATCAGATGTCCCTCTCTTTTCACTAAGGTTCATTCCTCTGTATTTCACATGTTCTTGATTGGTTTTTCTTTGGAACAGGCCAATGTGGATACAGGAGAAAAAAAGAGAATTCATTTTCTATCAATGGGAAAAGAAAAATCTTACTTGAAACTCATGTGTGATGGATGCTAAGTTGGTTTTAAGGTATCGGTGTATGACTTGAAGACGTTTTCACAGAACATAATACTCTCAAGTGAGGATTAAAATGAGATTTTCCATTAGGATAATGCAGAAGACGCATTCTTTATGGAAAAAGTAAGAACACTAAAGCTTTCTTTTACCAGGCATCTTCCGCCAGGCAGTAAGACTGCAGTCATCCAATAAATGGGGACTGCGGAAGACTTCAAAAGCCACAAATGTACCTCCACAGTTAATTTTCAGCAAGTCTGGCAATCAGATCTTTCCATTCGGCCCTCTTCTTTGTGATATATGTAGGGGTGAGTAGCTGCAGTAGTGCTTCTGGCTGGTGTCTAAAGAAGTTCTGACACAAGGCCTCAGTGTTACATATCACATACATCCCACAGTCATAGCTGTTCTGTTGGGCAGGGGCTTTCTCGTCCACAAAGGCCAGTCTGTCTCCTTTTCCGCCTAAGAAAACCTCCAGTTTCTCTGCTACCTGCTTTGCATGGAGTGAGTTGCTCCTACTATGGGAATCATAGTGAGAAAAGCTATTTTTGTCATGGAGATAAACTAACAAACTCCAATGGGTTCCTCCAGCTGCCTGGTTGGAGTTATCATTGATGGCTAAAAACACAACTTTCTTGTGGGGAAGGTCCAGGGGTTCAAGGAATATGGCGATCTCCGCTGGGTTGCTAGTACACTTGATGAACTGGGTGACTTCGGGGCTGATGAAGGAGACTTGGTCAGAGCAGTCATGAAATTGACTGTTGGCAAAGTACTCAAAGGCAAACCCAATAATATGGTCATTGAGCCAGCTTGGAGGATCCAACAGGGAGACATCTGATTGCCGCAGTAAACTGTCCATGTAACTCAAGACTACAGGGTCCATCCTCTACTGACCAGAGCTGCTCCAAAATTCTAAAAACTGAAGGAGAGGCAGAAGACAATATTTACTGTTGAATCTAATGCCTACCTTATAAGCTAAGTAAACAATTTGTTAGAATGAGAACTTTGGATATTTTCCATGCTGAAACAGGAAGCATTTGATTTTCACTTCTAATGAAGAGATTTGTTAAAATTATAACTAACGTTTGAGCAAACACCATGGCATTAACTGTATATTTGGCCCTTTAAGGAAGATGCATGATAACAATGGCAAATTATTTTTTATATTAAAGATAAATATTCAAAGCATCTGAAGAAAAAACGTGCTAATTACCAATGGAAATAGTTTCCATTTCAACATTAAATTTCAAGAGATATGATAAAATTTTGCTTCCTTGTTCCATAATGGAAAGTGATAGTAAAAGGAACTATAATTTCAAGAACAGAAAGTTTTGAGAGTAATAAAGATGAAATTTAGTCCTGATTCTGCCCAGCCCTCTACGAGCATGGGTAATATATCGTCTCTGCCTATTTCATTTCTCTAATTTCAAAGGGTAAGATAAACTTGTATTACCAAAAGTAATGTTGGTAATACAAGTTAAGAAGGCTTTTGGTGTTGAAAGGTAGTGTAGAATAGGAATCAGCAGACCAGGGTTTATACTAGGTTTAACCACTCATTAACTGATAACATCTTGAATAAATAATTTAAATGATTTTGGCCTTGTTTTTGCTATTTAAAAAATAGTTTTATGACTTCCTTCTATACCTCCAATAATTGTATAGGAAGCCAAATAATTTTACTCCAAGGTACTAAAAGACTATAAAATGTACAAATACATATTGATGTCATCAATTGGATGATAACAGTAAGATAATCAAAAAAATCCATAACTCCAAACCAATATAAGCAGATAAGGTTTGGAAACAAATACCAATTCATATTATCTTTTGTCCAGACATAAAGCAAGAGTAACTTAAAGCAGAAATGACACAAGTTGTTCGATGAGATTAATATGTAAGCTATTACCCAGAAATTTGCTGAATGAGGAAGAAAACATAACATGTGAGACCACCACCAGCTAACTGCCATGCCAGACTTGATGGCATAGAAGTATTTGTAAACACCACACAGAGGAAACTGTCACATGTAAACTGAGAACTGAGAGTACAAAACAAAGCATACTGTTAAAACAACAACAACGACCCCCCCCCACTAACACTGCTGTTAAGAGACTGGGCTAGAAGTATGGCATCATTTTATCAACTCTGGCCATTAGACAGTTATTTTATCATTTGGTTATACTATTAAAACAATAAAATGTTGCAACATAACTATTTTCATGTAATGAAACCTGTAAAACCTATACAGAAAAATAAAATATACCTGATGAGAAAAAGCTAAACTAAATGAGCTAACTAAGAAGCACCTGTGCTGGTTTTATGTGCACATAGTATATTATAATCTTAATGATTTCAGGAACAATTTAGGTCTATTTATGAGAAAAAGAAAAATAAAATAAGATGGCATGAATTAAGATTTTCTTACGAAGAAAGAACGACTTGAGCAAGGAGAGAAGCTGGAGCCAGGAATGAAGTTATCGAGGCGTAGAGCACATTTGTTATGGGTGGGACACAAATTTGGCTCCAAGCTTTTGGGCAGCTGACCAAAGAGTGAAGTTAAACATTCACATGCCCATAAGGTAAAAACAAAGCAACTGCACAAATAAAACTGTTTTTGTATTAAGGTCAGGCAGTTTTCTTCTCTTCATAAAAGGAGGCATGGTGTGTCATCAGGAATAACACCCCATAATATTTTTATAATAGATGCAATAGTTTTATAAGACAACTTCTTATAAGGATTTTTAACGTCTAGCCTGACAACAAATGAGTGTACATAGCAATCCAGTAAAAGCCACTTTGTGGAGGCAAGGTACTTAGCTGGAGCCCTGCTGGGGTCCTGATGATACAGGTTACAGAACTCTGCTAAGGAAAAGATTGGTGGTTCAAGTCCACCAGGTACTCTGAAGAAGAAAGATGTGGCAGTCTACTTTGGTAAAGATCATAGTCTTGGAAACCCCACAGGGGCAGTTCTCCTCTGTCCTATAGAGTACTATGACATGGAATCTATTGCACCATGAGTTTGGTTTGGTTAGGTACTCAGCTTGCTGCTGATTTGACTCCAAGAGCATACGACTATGAAGATGGAATGACTGCATGTACTTCAGGCAAGCTTCCCTAAATATATTATCTATCCACCCATGTCTTCAGCAAATAACTGCCAAGACTGCATAGTAGTGGGTGCCAGATTGTATTGCCTGGCAAATATCTGGAGATCTGCTGCTCTATGCTGCCAAATGAAATCAGACCCACCATGTGATAGACAACCTAGGTGGGCACAGGAATCTACAAGAAGAATGCTTCACAAACAAACATCTCACCTCGGAGTGACTGTCCAGAGGCAGAGTCAACAGTCTCTGAAGAAAAGTTTTTGTGATTTACTTGTTTGATTTTAAAAATATGCATCACATAGTCAAAGGGTCAATCAAAGCCCCAATTGTAGTCCATACAAAAGAACTCTAGAAGTTTAATCCAAAAAATTGTTTAAGAACATATTTTTAAAAAAATTGTGAATTGGGTAAAGGTTTATGGAGCAAATCAGTTTTCCATTCAATAATTCATAAACATTTTGTTTCAGGTCACTCACTACAATCCCTACAATGGAACATGACTTATGGTTTCCATTCCTCCTTTTTTCCTAACTGTTCTGAACTTTGTCCATAGGTAAACGCTGCCCTTTTGGTCTCAAATGGATGATTATTCTTTGGTGTGCATTCCTCCCTAGTGTTGTCCCCACATAGACGTACTGTTTAGCTGAAAAGTGAGCCATGGGGGTGAGTTCATTTCAGACCTGAAGGGTGACTAAGGGCCACAGTCATCAGTCTCTGTCTAACAAGTAAGCCTGTTTTTTTTTTTATGATTTTGAGTTTTGTTCCACATTTTCCTCCCACTCTATCCAGGATCGTATAATGTATTCAATCCCTCATAGAGCAGTTAAAAAAAATCTACGGTAAATGGAAGTAAACTAGTTTTGAGTCAAAGTCAAGTAAACAAAGAGACCCACCCAAGCCCGTTGCTGTCAATTCTCTTTTATGGTAGAACTGCTCCAGAGGGCTTTCTTGGCTGAAATCCTGACACAGGAAGGCTGTAGGTCTTTTGTCCATGGTGCCACTGTTGTTGAAAAGTGCTGTCAAGTAGGTTCCGATACATGGAGATGCTGTATAGGGGTTCTGAGGAGAGGCTGGTGGGTTTGAACTACTGACCTAGCCGTTCAAACTGACCCTGCAATCCAGCCCATTATCCTGCAGCACCACACCAGGACTCCAGGCTGTCACTAGGTGGGTTCACAATGCCCACCTTCTGGTTAATAGTCAATTACAAAGCATTTGTGCCACCAGTGTCCCATAAAACCCAATAGAAAACACGAAAAGAAAAACATTAAGTTGCTGTCAAGTGGATTCCAACTCATGGTGACCTCATATGTGTCAGAGTAGGGCTGCATACCACAGGGTTTTCTTTTCTTTTTTTGGAAAGTGAAAGAAGCTTTTATTTGGTTGCTCAACCAAAGCAGAACACCAGGACTTGGATTGCTAAGATGGCTGGCTCCTCCAGAGGATGTTCAATGATGGATCTTTGGGAAGTAGCTCATCATACCTTTCTTCTCAGACCACCTCTGAGCAGGCGCTAACCACCAGTTTTTTGCAGCCAAATACATAAACATTAAAAACAACAATGCTTATACTTTTATACTGGGGGAGTAAAGATTTTGTCATACTGCGGTGGCTTATGAGTTGCTGTGATTCTGAAAGCTATGCCACTGGTATTTTAAATACCAGCAGGGTCACCCATGATGGACAGGTTTCAGATGCGCTTCCAGATGAAGACAGACTAGGAATAAAAAGTGGCAAACTACTTCCGAATATTTAGCCACTGGAAACCTTATGAAGAGCAGAGAAACACTGTCAGAAACAGTGCGGGAAAATGAGTCCCTCATTACTCAAAATGCAACTGGGGAAGAGCTGCCTCCTCAAAGTAGAGTTGACCGTGATGACGCGAATGGAGTAAAGCCCATGGGAGTAAAGCCCAAAAGCCCACGGGACTTTCATTTGCTGATGGGGCAAAACTCAAAATGAAGAGAAACAGCTGTAAAACATCCATTAATAATTGGAACATGGAATGTATGAAGTTTGAATCTAGGAAAAATGGAAATTGTCAAAAATGAAAAGGTACACATAAACATTACTATCTTAGGCTTTAGTGAGCTAAAATGGACTGGTAGTGTCCATTTTGAATCTGAAACCACATGGTTTACTATGCCGGGAATGAAAAAAAAAAAGAAAGAACAAATTTAGATCAGTCATGAGGTACAACACTGTCTGTGATAGGATAATATCCATGCGCCTACAGGGAAGAAGACCAAGGGGCTCTGGTAGCATAGTGGTTACGAATCGGGCTGCGAACCTCATGGTCAGCAATTCGAAACTACCAGCTGTTCTGCGGGAGAAAGATGAGGCTTTCTGCTCTCGTAAAGATTTACAGCCTCGGAAACCCTGTACAGGGTCGTTATGAGTCAGAACTGACTCCACGGCACATAACAACAACACAGGGAAGCCCAGTTAATACCACTATTATTCAAATTTACAAACTAATCACTAAAGCCAGTGAGGATGAAATAGAAAAATTCTACCAACTTCTTCAATCTGAAATTGATCAAACATGCAATCAAGATGTATTGATCATTACTGGTGATTGCAATGCAAACGTTGAAAACAAAGAGGAAGGATCAATAGTTGTAAAATACGGCCTTGGTGACTGAAATGATGCTGGAGATTGCATGACTGAATTCTGCAAAATCAATGATTTGTTCATTTCAAATACTTTCTTTAGACGATTATACACGGAATATACAAGAATCAAATTGACTACATTTGTGGAAAGAGATGGTGG